GGTCCATACCGGTCTACCGGTCCATACCGGTCTACCGGTCCATACCGATCTATATTTTTCACTTTCCTGCTCTATGATTGCATTCAAGGTATGAAGGTAACGCACCAGAGAGTTCACTGCACAAGAGGATTTCATTTTAGGCTGCAGCCTGTTGTCTGTAGATCGATATTTTATCGATAGGTCGGGTTTTCCTGATAAACTAGCGTATCATCAGTATTCTGTCACTATCGGTAGACCGGTTTGGACCAGTCAGACCGGTTTAGACCGGTAGACCGGTATGGACCGGTAGCAAGGGAGAAACAGCTAAAATCTGATTTTTTTGATGTTTTTGATTTTTTTGATTTTTTGATTTTTCTGGTTTTTTTGATTCTTTTTGATTTTTTTGATTTAAATCAATTGATTTTAAATCAACAAAATGCGAAAAGAAAACAAAAAAATCAAAACAGAAATCAGAAAAATCAAAAAAATCAAAAATTCAGAAAAATCAAACAAAAAATCAACAAAATCAAAAATTCAGAAAAATCAAACAAAAAATCAACAAAATCAAAAATATCACTGAAATCAATAAAATCTAATATCAGCTGCTCCACCCTTGATTGATGTTTTGAACAACAGAGATTAAAGATTTTTTGATTTTTGTTGATTTTTTCGATTTTTTCGATTTTTTTAATTTTTTTGATTTTTTTGATTTTTCTGATTTAAATCAAAAAAACCAGCGGTTTCCCCCTAGACCGGTATGGACCGGTAGACCGGCCGGTCCGGTCTACCTTTCTCCAGACCCGCACCGGTACCAGTCTGAAAAAAAGTGGACCGGTTCCATCTCTGGAACAGGATGGAAGGGAATCGTAGAGAGGCTCCCGATGAGTCTTGGTGGGATAGTTTTTATTGTCCCGTCAGTCTCTGTTCTGTAAGACCTATGAAATCAGGACTGCAACACCCTTAGAAGTTTAGTTCGAGTATGTTTTGGAAAAAATATTTTATTATTCACCAACTCGAAAAGGATAATTTCAAATCTTTCTAGCACATTGATAAGCCCTCCCTTAATATTATCCACGTGCACATCCTTCAAGCTATTTCATAGTGGTAATTTATTTGTAAGTTTATTTAGGTATGAATTCAGACGTATTCTCAGACCAAGCTGAAAAATTATAGCTGACGAAACTTTAACTATATTTTTTTTGTGATGCTGACATTTGGTTCGTTTGTCATTTTTGGCATCATCCATATTCCATTGTCTGTCATGTAAGTATATCGAAATGAAGACGTGTGAGAGTAGATTGAAGAGAAACTGTTAACTGAACAGATTGAAATGAAACAGTTACTGTAGAAACAAAGCTAAGAGAGTCATCAAGCTCAAGTTCAGTTTTTTGTCTGAAATATCCTTTATTGTATCTCGTTGTATCTACTACACGTCAGAAGATCGAACTCTATGCACAGGAAGCCATCTTTACTCTTGTTAGTTCTTCCACACGTATTTTCAACTCTGTTCGTCAACTTGGTACCTGTAGAATACTGTCTATTTTTTTTCCTCGTATTATTCGTATCCCATCTTGTCCTATTTACAAAGGAAAGAAAACGAAATGCGTACAACGTACTTACGCAGTTCTCGTGAGAAAAATTGCTGTCAAATCAGAAAAATATATGCTTCTTTAGAGTTGCAACGACCCAGAACAAGCATCACGATAGTCGTTTACGATCGTATTTTTCCGTATTATTTGCTCCCAGAATTACGACTATATGTCGTCATGTCGTATACGACCACTGTAAACGATTGTACACAGTTGTATACAACATCGTTAGCCCTCGTATTCCTCCAAGCTTCTCCTCAATAAGTAGAGCACAACTCCATGTTATCCCCTTCCCCTATAGGGACTCTGTTCACCCGCGTTCTCAATATGGAGAATACTTACTTTTCGTTGCGCCATTCAAATGAATCTCAAAAAGAGAAGAAAAATTACTTAATGTCAAATGCGACCGACTGTTTGTTGAACTGTTGTTATACATCTAAATAAAACGTAAATTAATATTATTTAATTTAAAATGATAGTTATTGTTCGTTGTGCCGTAGAGATAGATCTAAAATCAATATAACAAGAAAATTTTCATTTATAATCATACTTACTGTGCAGTTTGCTGTTGGGATGGATCTAAAATAAATAAAAAAATTGTTTAATTTAAAATGTTCTTACTGTTTGTCATACCATTGATATAGATCTAAATACAAAAGAAAAAAATCTCATTTTACAATATATGTTATGGTCAAAATTAAAAGTCTTTTTTATTGAAAAGAAAAAGGTAAAATTTTGCTAAGAAAGCGTACGGATATGGGTAAAGGTGCTTAGTTTTGATGGATGAGGGTATGAGTGTAGATGGGCGTGGGAGAAGCACGGCTCTAGGGTTGTCATTTTTCTATTAACTTAAATAAATTTTAATTATTGACCACTACGTTTAAAATAAATTAAATTTTTCTCATAATGCAAATTTAAAAAAACTTAAATTATCAAAAGTGACATTAAAAGTAAATCTAGCTGAAGACAAATTAAATTTATTTTTAGATTTACATTACGAAAACAAATTTATTTTATTTTATATGAAAACTATAAAAAAAATAAAACTTTATTTTGAATATCAATTATGTTAATTTAAACTTATTTTTACATTTAAATTATGAAAAAAATGGTTCCAATACTAAATTTGAATGACCGATAATTTAATTTACCCATTCGCTAAACTGAAAATATAAACTGACATCCCCATAAGAACTTATTGCACTTACAATCATATATTCTTTTTTAATAATGTTTTTTTAATTAAAGTTGTCGTTGCTGTCACTGATTGTTTATTTCCTTTTTTTCTTTTCATTAGAAAATGACTGTTAATTTCATCTAGTCAAAATCAAAATTTTAGTTCTAACTGACATATGATGTTGGACAAAATCAAAATTTCAATTTTGCCTGAGCACAATTAAAATTGTGGTTTTGGCTAGACAAATTTTTAATTTGGCTGAATTTTAAGTTTGCCCACAACATATACTTACTGTTAGCTGTGCCTTTGAGATAGATCTAAACAAAGAGAAAAATGATTTAATTTAAAATAAAGCATATTGTTTGTTGTGCCATCGGAAGGGTATAAATATTAAAAAAAATTGTTTCAAATGAAAAAACACACTTACTATTGATTGGATGGTTGTAAGAAATGTAATTGTAAAAAAAATTATATGATGGAAAAATTATTTGGCGCTGAGCACAATAAAAATACGATCGTACTTTTTCAATCTGGGCCTGTTCGGCACTACGCTGTTGTTCGTTGACTTAGCATTCTTCACCCGAACTGCTTCTCTTATATTAGCTCTTCTAAGAGTGAGAAGAATTGAGTGGAAGAAAGCATGTGATAGCAAATAAGAAGACCTGTAAGCTTACAAAGTTGTTTTTAATGTTTCGATTCATTTTTGCTTATGTCGTTTAGCGATTGTTTCTTTGTATTCTTGTATTTTTTTGTCTATGCTCTGTGTCGACTTCTGTTATGTTTTTCGAATCCTATCATTCCACTACTAATGGAAGGTACTATTGATCTTTCATTATGATCAAAGAGCAAGAAGCAAACAAGTGATCCTACTGACATACCATGTTCGATTAGATGAAAAAAATTTGTCTACAAGTAAAGTGTTGTTAAGGGATGCCAGTTTCTGGTTTCGTTCTCAGAAACGCGGAACCCGTTCAGAATTCGCATTCCTAGGTACGGGAACACAGACTAAGTTGCAGGTTCCGCGTTTCTAGAAACCCGGTGCGAGTTCCATTCTCGGAAACCCAGGAATTCATACCGACTTCGTACAGATTGAAAGAATAAGTACGCCCATAAGTCTCAACATAATCAATAACGCATAGAAACAAAAGTTCAAGTGGATCTCCGGAGTCTTAGAGCCTGGCGTGGATTCGGTTCTCGGGAGTTCGGAACCCGAGTGAGTGTAGCTGGGGTTGTGTCGGTGGGGTGTAAGTGCCGATGTGGCTGTGTGTGGGCAAAGGAATGCCCACACCCCACACCCAGACCCCACACCCATACCTACACCCCAGACCCCACACCCATACCCACACCCTATATCTACACCCCACACCCACACCCACACCCACACCCATACCCACACCCCACACCCCACACCCATACACTGCATCCACACCTCACACCCACACCCAAACTTTGAAATTTCATCATTCCAATAGTAATACTTAACTGCCAGCCATATAATCTTCACTTCTGTTTTCAGAGGATTTATTCTATCATGATTCAATAGCTCACAAAGAACATTGTATATGGAACCAAATTTTTTTTTGCAAACAGATGT